TGCGACAGCACGGTGAATGCTACAGCGTCCTGGACTCAGTGAATGCGACAGCACGGTGAATGCTACAGCGTCCTGGACTCAGTGAATGCGACAGCGTCCTGGACAGGGCAGAACTGCTCCTGTGGGTTTCTGAGACTCTCACTCTTCTAAACTCATTAAAAGCCAAATCCACTGCTATCAAATCAGTATTAGTTCATAGCAACCCTATAGGGAGGGTAGAACTGTCCCTGTCAGTTTCCAAGACGGTTACTCTTCACGGGAGTAGAAGCCCCATCTTTCTCCTACAGAGAGGCTGGTGGTTTCAAACTGCTGACCGTGCTGTTGGCAGCCCAACTCGTAACCACTACGCCCCCAGGCTCCTCAGCAAATCCCAGTTGCCCAGTCTTACAAGACGCACAGCCATGAGATGACCAGCAGTGATGATTGGCAGGGCCGAACTGGGCAGCCTCGAGGAGGTGTGCTGGATGTGCCATTGACATGTTTATTGCCCTCCATTGTTCATCTCCACACCCTGATTTTAGTCCTGGTCTGGCTCTTGTAATCTACTTACCCTTTTTATTATTTAGTAATGACTTTACAGATGCAGCTATAATAAAAACTAACTTAGAGATTGTGCTATAATACATTTAAAAAATGAGATTAGAGGAGGGGATGGAAAACACTGGGCAGTTTTTAAGAACAGATACTGGGTTAGCCCCAGGAAAGAACACTGAGAAATGTGCTTGGCTGCCGAGAAAACTGGATTATGTTTGCAGCAGTGCAAAAGCAAAATTAAACGAAGAACAGAGTACTGACTATGGCTAATGACACGGACATGTTGTCACAGATCATTCTTAAGAGCCAAGTCAAAAAATATATATATTTTCCCTCCTGTTGCTTCTTTGTGTTGTCAAGACAACAAGAGTGATTTTATTACACCCCCGAATTTTCCCTGTATTTACTACACTCAGGAAATTGCATTATAGCTAGAAGATAATTATTTAGATGTTCACACATCTCTGACAGTAGGGCATTCATTATGAGATAAGGTTTGAAGCTTAGAGGCTTCCTTTCTTTTTTTTGAGACTTCCTTTTTAATATTTTAGAATGTCAACTGAAAGAAAGCTCAGAATGATAAGTAATATATCTCAGCCACATGAATGAAAATGAGCTTCATTAAAATAGTTTATTTCTTTCTGCTAAAATAATGAGGGTGCAGAATGTACTAGTTGGAACATTAGATTAAGAATTATAAGTGCTGTAAGAGCCACCAATAAAATGATTTATTAAAATAAAATTTAACAAAGAATCAGGGAATTTTAGTTTCTATTATAAAGCACACCATTGTTTTCCTATATGATCGCAAAAAACCCTCAACTCCTCTTTTTATATAAATGCAACAAGGTTTGCTAATCATTCTTGTTTTTTAAACTATTTATTATGAGCTGAGTGAGGTTTGTAGAATAGGTAACCAGTTTTATATTCAAAGGTTCATATTCATCTGGTTTCTGTTCATTTGCTGCAATTCCCTCAAGGTAGCATCACCCCTGCCTTTGATTTTCATCACTCATCTCTTCCCCGGATGGGGAAAGACCCATAGTTGCACCTCAGATGGCTGCTCATGGGCTTTTAAGACCCCAGTTGCTACTCACCAAAGTAGAATAAGGAACATTGTCTTTGTGGACCATAGGTTCTCAAACTTATTTCTATAATCCTCCTCTTTTCAGGAGAAAAAAAGTATCTGGCACAGTCACCCTAACAGTTGAAAACTTTTATTCTATAACCCATATTCTAGGATACAATATAGTACTGGCTTTTACAACACCTCCCTCCACCCACGAGATCATTCCCATGTCACCAGGGACTGGTATCACCCCCTTGGGGGTGGGCTATACGTTGTTGAGGACTATGTTATGCCAATTGGCTTTGATGTCCCCCAAGACTATGGTCCTGATCCACCAGGATCACCCTGTATGCCTACCCATGAATTTATCCATAGATCACTTGTTGCAGAATTATGTACATAACAGCATTTGCCTCTGTTGCCATTAACTTTGCATTTTTCTCAATGTCTTCCTGTTTCTGCCATTTTTTTACACCATTCCCTCTTTTAACTTTGTCATGGTCTACATTACAAATTCATATCTGTGGTTCCCTATTTTCAGTTTTGTAGGTTTGTTTTGGGGTCATGCATTGGGCTGTTAACCACAAGGGTCAGCAGTTCAAAACTGTCAGCTGCTCCGTGGTAGAAAGATGAGGCTTTCTACTCCTCTACAGAGTTACAGTCTTAGAAACTGGAAGAAAGGAAACACCATTGGCGCCTGCCATCCTCACAATTGTCATGTTTGAGACTCTTGTTGAAGCTATTGAGTCAATCCATCTCATCAAGGGCAGTGGCAGTTACATAATCTCTGTCAACTTGCAGAAAGGTGGAGCCTAGCCTCATTTTCCCCTTCCTCTCCACTCCCCTCTCCCTCATGTACCCTTGATGATTTATTATTAATATTTTGTCTTGTCTTACACTGTCCGACTCTCCCTCCCTTCGAGAATATTTTCTTTCTTTTCTTTTTCAAAAATTAAATCGTTTTATTGGGGGCTTGTACAACTCTTATCACAATCCCACATACATCCATTGTGTCAAACGCTTCTGTACATTTGTTTCCCT